CATTGAGTTGGTGATGCCATCCAGCCATCTCATCCTCTGTTGTCCCCTTCTCCTCCTGCCCTCAATCTTTCCCAGCATCAGGGTCTTTTCAAATAGGTGCCAGGATATCATCTGCCTAGTTTGCAGTAGTGGTCTCTGGGAGCATATCAGCCATCTTTGGGTACGTCGATTTTCTGTTAAAACTTCTCATTTTTTTCAACATTTGTCTGGGGGGCGGAGAGGGGAAACCATCAATCTGAGAAATATGCAAATCCATCTGGCCACACATGAATTAGAGCTGGTCTAATTGTGAACGATTTCAGTCAAGAATGCAAGGCAGGATTAAACATCTCAGGCCAAATCATTCACTTTTCATGTTTCCACACTCCAGAGCCTTTCAGCCTGAGAGCAGAGCTGCAGATCCGGAAACGGTGCTCAGCTCACATGTGCTGCTGCCAGATCTGCTTTAGTTTGATAATGGCTAGAGATGGTGGCTGCCTCTGGTACAGCTATTCATAACTCTGCCTTATTAAACCCAAAGAAGTAAGGTTGAAAATCTAACACAAGGCACTCATCATTCAATTACATATTTCTTGTGAAAGAGGCAAAAACTCTGCCATGTTCTGCAAAATCTCGACATCAATAGCAATTAAGTTTCACATCAAGACAGAGAAATACTACACTAACTACACATGAATAACGTCTTTTCATATGCAGTGGTTTGCATCTTTCTCTGCATTTAATTCTATAAGACAATAAATGATGGTACCCTGGTACAAAAAACTATTCACAAATTAATTGGAAAAAATATGTGAGTAAAGGTATTTTATATTTCCAATTTCAGAGACCATGTAGTCAGTCCTATTACCAACACCATAGCTCTCCAACAACAAATCACAACTCATCATTCTACAATTCAGTTTTAGAATCAAACCTGGGATTAATTGTGGCATTTTCATTGAAAGATTCTCAAACAAAAAGTATGATGAATCTCATGTAATCCAACACATGTTTTAAAGAGTATTCCATCAAATATTGAGCAGCATTAGCAACGCATGTAGATGATTGGTAAACTGGAGAATTGTTTCTCATTTAGAGGAGATGTTAACACAGTAGTCTAGTGGCCATTTTCACAAGGAGAAAAAAAAAGTATGACTATTCTAGAAGTTTACCCAGTAAACTCCGAGTGAAGTGGGGGGAAGGAGGAAGAAGATTTTGAAAATGTCACTATGCTTTCACGCTGTGTATAATTAAATTCTCAGTTCAATAAGGTAGGAGGGAAAATAATGTTTCATTCCCCAAATGAAATGCACAGTAAGGAAAAAAATATCCATAGTGGGGCTTATGGCTTGTCTTTGAGATCACAAACCAAGTAACAGATTAAAGAAAAACGTCATCTTTAATATATGTTTGGAGGGAAAAAAGAATGAAGATCTCTCATTTTTCTAAATTTTGTCCACATGAATGAAAAACAAGAAGAGATTTATTTTAATAATTTCACTATATTCAGAAAGTCTATTTTTATGAAGTTTGATGCTAACTTAAAACATACTGCATAGAGCAGTTCAGTATCAGGCACTAGATTCCATTTTCTTACTCAAAAATGCATATAGAATATCCAGTTACACAATGCCAATAAGTATATGTTGATCATTTTAAACAAAACAAAAAGGCAATGTTGGAGGGTATTTTGTGTGTGTGTGTGTGTGTGTGTATGTAACTCCATGGTAACTCATGGATCTCTTTGTAATCTACTAAGTCAATAAATGCATCTTTCCTAAAATTTCAATTATGTACTTCAATGTTGCCTTTGAACCTTATAATCAGTATCAAAACTGTCTAAGTACATAAAAGAAGAAGCCGCCTTAGGACTAGCACATCAGTGAACAAAGGTGAACAATAAATTTCCACCACATTGTCAAACTCACTCAAAACAAATATTTCACCGAACCATTTACAACTACTGATTGCACACCAAACCTGACTTTATATTCTTCCTATTTTAAATAGATATGATTTTTTACAAGGGCTTCACAAGTAAGAGCTTGTAAATGTAAAGCAGTCCATTAATTTTATATAAGCTGTTTTATATACCTGTGGGCCTCTAATAGCATTCAGCTACAAGGTTACAAGGAGAAGTATCATTTTCCAAAGTCCTGTTGGAGAGGTTGGCATATATATATACTTCACTAAAATTCCAGCTATCATGCCAATAGCTCTTCTTCACTCAAGCTGTGTTCATTCTACAGCTGAAAATACTGACACAAACGGGACGACAGTGCAGTACCAGGTACTAGATCCCTATCAAGGAAATGGTACTGTCAGACTCAAGTTGGAATTTCAAGTCCAATGACTTACAAAAAGAAAAGAATTCCCCGTTATAATTTTCCATGGACTCCTTCAAAGAACAGATGTACAGATGTATACCCAGTCTTGTTCTTACATGTGTAACTGTATTTAACCTGTACATAGAAAAGGCTCTTCTAAGCCAGGACCTTCTCACAAGACTTTCTATCATAATCTTTCTGGAAATAACTTATCTTAGAGAAGGAAATCTGTGCCTCCTTCCTTTTAGCCTAAGACTGTCAGTTTTATTAATACTCCTGTTGAGGTACAGCATGATGTCTCTATGCAGGCTCTGGAAGGCCCTATTGCTCTGTTTGTAAATGTGCAATGTGATGGGTCAGAGGCAGCAAGAAGCAGAAAAATGCAGGGCTTTGTAGCTGTGTCCAGCTAGCTGCTCAGCTCACCACATCATGCTACAATTTTGCCATGTTTAGCCTGGTATGTATTTCCAGCGAGTGGTTAGCCTGGCCTTTTTTTCCACTAAGTTAGTACAAGCTAATAAAGGTGTTTTTCACTTGATTGGGATCTCTCCTTAAACAGGCATGACTATGGGATAGGGTCTGGTTTCATAAAGACAGTCTTTTACCAGACTTGAGAAAAGTAAATTAAAGGGATATTTCTGTTAATATCAAAGCAGGCTTATTACCTCAATATAAGCACTTCCTTAATTTTCCTTTCTCAGCAGGCTATATAAATATAAATAAAAAGGTCCTCCACTGGATTTATGTTACATACATCTCACAGAGTTTAATTATAAAGCCTCTGAAAATGAAGATGGTGGGGGAAAAGATGCCAATAAATCATATAGTCCTGGTATTGTGTTGGCTGGCTGTCTCTGCCCGCAAGGAAACAAAGACACTCAGTAGTCACAATATACCATGAAAAGCTGGGCTCTGAAGAAAAGAAAATCCCAGAGGAGAAGGATATTATTATTATTCAGTGACTGGAAGAAGTCTACAATTTTAAATTTTGTTCTTATCAATGTTATTATAAATGGCATTATAATTATCATAGTTTTACTGCAATTAAGGAGGTGGACTTAGAGGTTTCTTTTAAGGGCCACTCCCTATCTTCTCTAAAGCACTGATGTGCTAAAATAAGGGAAGGGCGGTCAGATGAAGACCAAGAATTTAGACACACACACACAGACACACACACACACACACCCCCCTCACTTTAAAGAACAGTGAAGACACTTGTACAGGAATACAAGTTTCGCCCCAGCAAGGGCCTACCAGAAAAGTCAGGCAACTCCTGAGAGTGAGAAAGACTGTGCGATGGACTGAGGGCTCCACGAAGGAAGAGAACGGCGGAAACGCTATGCAATCTAGGCAGGACCCTCAGCAGTTCAGCGACCTCAGTGAGGACGCGTGGGGCCCACTCCCACTCCTGGAAAACTGCGCCTCGCTGGCCTGCAGGCAAAAGGCCAGCATCTCACCTGGAGCAAGCAGAGGCCGTTCTCACTGGGGCCCTCGAGTTTACCCTGGAGGCGTTATGCTTAAACCTTCTCTTCCCTTTCTATTCAATTTCCGACCTCTCTTCGCCTCCAGCTTCGTTCTCTCACGGGCTTCCATTTTTCCCAAGCTGGCTTCTCACCCGGGTTGATGGAGCACTACCTGCCAGACCGCTGCTCCTTTAATACTGCGGGGATTTGCAGAATCGGGCGTCCAGAAAGGATTGACTCTGACGCAAGGGGCGAGAGCAAAGGACGGGACTTCCCCGCCAACCTTCGCCTTTGACACAGAGAACCCCTAGCGCCAACGCTCGGTACTCTCCGGCTTATTTCTGGACCAAATCAACGTGTGACCGCCGCCGAGGAGGAACTGCGCGCACTTGAAGTGACGGCGGTGCCCGCTTTGGAGCGCTGCGGAAGGCCCCCGGGGAGCGTGCAACAGCAGCTGGAGCAAGAGGGCGAGGGGAGGGGAAGAAGAAGAGGGACGACGGCTGTGCGTCCGTGTTTGAGGGGCTAGGGTTGGTGGGACGTTTGTTTGTTTTGCTAATAAGGAGAAATTACCCCTCTCCCCATCCCGGATCTAATGATGATAGATTCCACGCTGCTTCAGGCCCCACGCCGGGGAGCCTAACCACGGAAAATAATGAGGCTACATCCCCATTCGTCTGCATTAAAGGCGAGCCAGGCACTTTCGATAGCAAATATATCGATTCCCTTGCTCCGGCCGTGGTTTCTCCTGCTCTCCGTAAATAATTACTGCTCCTTTGGAAATTCATAATAATTAGGACCCCTCGCCCCACCCCAACCCGCGCTGCTTTTTAAAAGCTCACATCCTGGAGGGGGACTTGGGGGGCCTCAGCCGTGCTCCCCGCAGGTGGGAGATAAGGCAGGAATCACTTTTCCCCACTTGGTTTTATTCTTTCGAGACAGTTGATTCCCCTCCTCCTACCTCAGTTTCCTTTCTTTTACATTGTTAAAGACACAGCTCTACCTCACTGGATTCGCGTTTCTGTTTGGGAGGAGGGGTAGATTTAACCAAAGAGGGGCAGGGGAGGAGAAAGCGGAGGAAAAGAAGGAGTCATCTCCTTGGGGACAAATTCTGTGGCAAACGCGTGACGCCGCAACCAGGGAGGGGGCGGGAGAAGGGGTGCTAACGAGAGGACCGCAAGAAGCCTCGGGGACCTAGCAATCGGAGCTTCAGTTCATTTCAGTTCAGTTCAGCTTAGTGCTCCCCAAAGACTGGGAGGGAGAGGCGGGTCGTTAAGGTCGCGACTGGGCGGTAGCAAGGAGTCCGCAGAAAGCGCCACTCTGCTTCAAGGGGCCGAGCCTGCGAGGCGGCTGGGAGCGTGGCCAGGCTGCGGGCCCCCGGCGGGGCGGAGCCTGTGGCGCTGTCCGCGGTCCTGAAGAATCGCTCTGCGGGCCGCGCTTGCCCAGCCGCAGGCCGCCGGCCACCGCCCCATTCACTCTCCGCTCTGCGGCCTCCCTTCCGAGAACCGCTGCAGTTCTGCCTGCTACCCCAGGAGCACCGAAGCTCGACAGCGTCGACGAAGAGCTCCCCAGATGCCACGCTTTGGTGTGAGAGCTTGGGGTCCAGATACGAGAGGGCTGCACCTGTGTTTTCATAAACCCTTGGGGACTGCTGGAGGTCACCTGAAGCTAAAAGCAAACAATAGAGCTCGCAGCTGTGAAGGCGAGATTCCAACTGGGCAACTTCCCCGGCGTGAACACTCCGAGGCTTCAGTCGGAAGGCTGAGTTTCCGAGACGAGGGTACGAAGCCTACGTCGAAGGAAGTTTCTCGCTTCTAACTGTAGAAGACTACTTGAAATGGCCTTGAAAATCAATGGGTGGGAAGGGGGTCTGAGACGTAGGGAGGAATATGTCAGGAGGACGCCCGCTCCCTCAGGTGGGGCGAAGGCGCGCAGCCTCTCTTTGCGCCCCTCGAGCCGCTGATTCGGATCCTTCCCGTCAGAATCCATTACGGTGGCGGGGATGATGGGGGAGACCTGGCCAGAGTCAGGTTCCGCAGGGACGAGCCGAGCCCCCAGGAGCCAGTTTCTAAGGAAACACTAGGTTTTTATAAGCAGCGATTTGTCTTATTGTAGGAGATAGAAATGGTACGAGAAAAGCCTCACTGTTTCCCATTCTCATGCAGATGAAGCGGTGAGCTGAGGTTGCGGCCTGCCTATCCCTCTCCCCACCTTATTTCCGGCTTGCGCAAGTAAAAAGCCCTCATTAATTTAAAGGAAGTAGGAGCCAGAGAAGGCTTTTCGCTAGCCGCGGCGGGAGAGGCACTTGCACTCTGGCTGTTCCCGAGACCCTACAGCAGACACACACCAACGCCCCCACTCCGGGTGCCGCCTTGCCTTCCAATACCCCGATCCCCCGACCAGAAGCCAAGGATCTTTCTATGACAAAGGGATCCCGGGAAAGGGAAGTCTCTCCACCCCACCCCCACCCACCCCCTGCCAGCCCCCACCTCGGTAGTAAACAAAATATACTAGGGAAAACTGTTTACACAGGAAGTAATTAGGTTTTCAGCCCGCAGCTGAATTGCGGCGAGCTCATTAGAAGTTTAAACAACAGCCAGCAACCCGCGAGGGTAACACAGCAAACTTGGAAAATGCGCACACGCGCTCCTGGGCGCGCCGAGGAGCTTGAAGAAGCCGGCGGTATATATCATCTCAATAAAAAGCCACTCTTGGAAAGCTTGCATAGTAATTGAGACGGGCGCTCTTTCCTGATCTGGGTTGGCATTTTCTCATCTTGAGCTGACAGAGCCAACTCAGGAAATTGCCAGTAATATTCATCTGGGGAGCACTTTCATTAAACGTAATTCATTCGACTTTCACAATAAATTGAGTGACATCCTTACAGCGGAACCTTTTTATCCTTGATTAAGTGCTTGCCGAGCTTTGGTTCCCACTTTATTGTCACATTCCTTCAAGCGGAGTCGTCAACATGCCAATCGGCAGCAGAAAAATGCGCGCGCGCCGTGTTTACCAAGCTCCGGGAGGGGGTAGTGCTGACTTAGAGAAAAGCTGGTCGCGAGCTTGAGCAGCGGATAAATCAAGATCGCAACTTCCTGCAAATAGTAGGCAGGACAGGCTAGAAGAATGTAGGGGGAGGCGAGGGAGCAGACCCGACCGGCCACCCAGCGGCTCCTGCAAGTCGCTGACCGGACGGCCTGACTTCCACCTCTCCCTATTAATTTAAATGGTGAGGACCCGTTAAGGTCTTGGAATGAGATCTGAAGCTCTTATAGCACAGAGTTGCTTTAAGGGAACTTTCCTGAATCTGAATCGAACGAGACCTAGACATTGTCTTAAAAAAAAAAAATCTGAAGGTACACTTCCTAACTAGTCACCTGAGAGCAGGCAAACTTTCATAGCTTCCATCAGCTTTTTTAATGGCCAGAAGAGTGCAAGGAAGAGGATTCCCTTTTGATATTAAGGATTCCCTTAATATCACCGCCAGGACAGTCAAACTCACTGAGAGCTTTCCAGACCCAGGAATCCCAAACAAGGCTGACAAGTACCTGGGTATTTCAGAACTAGATGAAACCAAGAAGGCATCCCTCTGCCAATGCCTGGCCCCTTCTCCCCCACCCCTTATAAAAACCAAAGCCCAGAAAATTGCTTATTTGAAAAGGCAATATCCAAATGCTTTCATCACTCAAATGCCCTCTTGAAAATATTGTCGCCGGTTGCTATTACCAGAACAATACTGTCAATTTCTGTAGTCTACAGGAAATCTTCCCTCAGATAGAAAAGTAAGACAGTGGGCACCTATCTCAAAAAAAAAATCAACCAATCGCCCTGCCACCTGATATATTTTCATCCAGACAACGCTTTCATTAAGGAGGAAATAGCCATCAACAATTTGAAGCCAAATGGAAATCAACTTCACACAAAGAGGAGCCACGAACTTAATGGCTTTCTGGGGAAATATTGCTAAGGAAGTTGGAGCAATTCTAGTTCTCTCCTTCTAATACTGAAAGCGGTTTCTCCAAAGCTGTCAGTGGAAGGCCCCAGACCACTCTCTTCCTCCTGGAAGTGAGCAGAAGTGCCACCAGCCAGGCGCTTTCCACACACCCAGGGAGCTGTTTTGCTGATCAGTGGAGAGTTGAATATTTCAGGGAAATACCTGGAACAGTAACACCTTCTCCTCTTACAGAGCCCTGGAACAGGTCTTGAGACTGATGGATTCTCATTTTGTGCTGCTGGGGCACAGGCTCCTTCACAAAGCTAGGTTTAACCCAGTATGGGGAAGGGTCAGCTAGCTAGAGCAGAAGTCAGGAAATTCAGTGGAGTTGGGTAACTCACAGCACTGCCTTCAAGAGCTGGCCTTAACAGAGAACACTGAACTGCCGCTGGGAGGGGTTAATGGGCTTCTCTTTTCAGGAATAAGCAGAAATTAACTAAAATGTTCAGTGGGCAGCTGGCTTAATTTTCAAAGGATGGGAAATACATATATCTAGTCCAAAGGACAAGCATTGGTGGTCTCTTTCCTGCTAATTTTCCCTTAGTTTCCACATTTCTTAACAGCCATCTTCATAAAGAGTGGAATTCACCCAAACAGTCTGGCTTCTAACAGTGTAGAGGTAGCATTCCATAAACATATTAACCACACTTTAACCTCTATTAAACAACTGGCATGGAATTCATATTTTAAGATACCCTAAATTCGAGGGAATAGATGAATCAGAATGGTTTTTTAAGCACAAGTTTTAGAAAGAACTTCCCATTTTTGGCCTTTCTTGGTTAAAAAGCAACTAAATCATTAGCAAATTTATTTCCTACAAGAAATGGTGGAAAGCAAATTGGGAGGACAGGGGAACTCTTCTCAGAATAGACTATGGATATTTGACTTGATCACAGTAACATCATTCAACCTCTGGTCAGAATCTAGGATTCAGTTTCTGAGTAAATTTTTTGTTACCATGCCCTGGGAGTGCTCATTAGACTTAATTCTTGACTCTGAAAATTGTCACAGGTGAGCCCCAAGCAGGACCCCTCTGACTTTTGCTGGGAGGTGCCCTCCCTGTGTGACCATACCTGTCCTTCAGCTGACAACTCAACGGAGGACCTACCCCCATTCTTCACAATCAGAAACCATATTTCCCTAGATTATTCAGTATGTGCTTCAATTCTGTTAAAATGCTATTGTCTGTCACCCCATTATATCATACTGAACATATTCTGGAATCAGTCCAGAACTGACAGGAGAATAGAGACTGCAGGACTTTTTTATTTTTAACAAGTATTGTTACACTATAGGTGTCTCTCCTGCTAACTTCAGATTTTTAAATCTGCAATTCAATAACATTCAGTAAACAGAAGACTTCCTTGTCTCTATCTAAAAAAAAAAAAAAAAAGAAAAAAAAAAGATTTCCTAATTCCCTGCATTTATGGCTGGAGTTAACCCTGTGGTGACTTTTGAGTATCCTAGCTAATATGCTTCAGAAGGTAACTTTACAGATACATTTCTAATTAACTTCCCATTGCAGTAGTACTAAAATAAGCTTCTCATTTTAAACAGGACAGGCTGATCTCTCACAACACAAAAAGACTGAAAATATTCAACCTAGAACAGTCATTCAAAGAACCTGGGCCAAGAAACATACTCTGAGAACATTCACCTAAATACAAGCAGGGAACTGTAGCTTAAATATGGAACACCGAGCTGCTGGTTAGAGAATTGTTTTTCATTTTCAATAAATCTCCCCAAATTTGGGAGTATTTAAGGCATATCTCTCTATATAAGAAGAAACCTAAATACTGTTGTATAGGAGATACCTAAACAAATACTACTACCCAAACATAATGTGTGACTATTTCTTGGGAAATATAACTGGGTTTCGAGGGTCTTAAAGAGAAAGGTGCACTGTAATATCAGCTATGAGATAAGGTACAAACAGTGCCCCTGTCACTTAACTTGCTGTGTGAGTCCATAAAGACACACAAAAAATTATTCATTAAACTCCTCCCTGGATTGTGCCAATTCAAGGGGAAAAATAAAATTATGTTTATGCCACCCCTGACTTTTTGGAGTGCAACTTGAAGCATTTCCCGACAACCTGCAGGCATCTATTGCAGTTTCTTACAGAGGTCTGGGCTGTTGTGGGGTGTGACTACTAACAAATGATAGATTCAGTTACTGTACCTGCTATTTAATAAAATAGATGGAGAGAGAAGCTTTGACCACTACTTGGTCCTCCTCATTGCCCTAGAGGTTTAATCAAGGGTTATCACTTATTTACTTGCCTAAAGCCATTCTGTTCTGACTGCCCAATTCACCCTTCTAAATTCATTTTCATGGGAAAAACCAGCTTCTTGCTCCTCTAAGAAAACCGCTCCGGATTTTCCCGACAAATAACCATGGGACTACAATCCCTGGAAACACTGCCTCGGGTCACAGCCACCAGCCTTTTGTTTTTCGTGGTTTCTAATCCCCGACACACAAAACAACTTTAGATCCAAGAGGAAAAGAATGGACTTCTAAATCGCCTTCTCTATTTTATTGTTCACATTTTGTATGGTTTTGAGTGAAACTGGAAAAATTGTCTCCTTCCTCTGTGTTGCCAAAAGGCATTCAGGTAATGAAGTCTGTAACTAAACGGTAATTGAATCAGCATAATTTGCACACTGAATGGTTTTCAAACGCTCCCAGTTTACAATTAAAGGAGAATTAATGCGCTTGTTGTTGAGAACGCAGAGCATTAGAATAAATCCAGCACTGTTGTTGTAATGAGTGGAAAACGGTTTAACTGCCAACAAACACATTTAAAATTTAACACAAAGTATTGATTTCACTTCTGCTTTTGATAGATTATTTTCCAGACTATCGAAATACTTGCTCCAAGCAATAAACTGCACCACAGCCGCGAGCTTTTGCCTTGCGTGCGTGAGCACAGTTCAAGGACGGAGGAACAGTCCGGAGGTTCAGGTCTTGCGTAAAGGTATGCAGAGGAGAGGGGCAGGAGGGTTTCCACGGTCGAGGGAATCCTTCATATTACCCCCTCGGTCGCTTTCACTTTGCGGTCCCTCCCCTTTCTTTCAATAAACAATTCCTGGGTTTCCTTAGGCCAAACTTTCTGCCCTGCATCTCTAAGCTCTCAATGTCAGAGGGTTTACTGGACACAGGTGGGGGCAAGATGGATTGAAGATGAGAAAGGGGAAGGACACTTTTTGCAGTCTGTCTGCGTTTCAGCCAGGGAAGTCACAGACTTCGGTGGGTGACGGAGTCAGAAAGGCCGTTCTTTGGGATTGGCTGCCCCAGCTTTCACCTGTTTACCCCAAGGTGTCCTGTAGGCGAGGACACTGACGCGCAGCGCCCTCTGGCGTCCGCGGCTGCCATGGTCAGGCGATAAAGGTGCAAAGACAGACATTGAGGGTTCTTGGATACAAGCTGAAACACCCTCACATTCATATTCACACACGTATACTTACACACTCATTAGCATACAGAGAGTTCACTCGACTGGCAGCCCTGAAGTCACAGGCACCAAGACCACGGTTGGGAAAGGCTCTCTATTGCAGGGATAGCAACCCTTTTGCACCCAGGATTGTGGGTTCCAAAGCCCTTGGGATTAAGGAACGGCAATACTCACTCCGTTCACCATGCAACCCATCGGGCCTCCGCAGGGCTTCTCGCCCCTAGCCAGAACACACAGAGCCCTCCGCGTGCTCCTGCGGCCCAGAGGTGGGTTATGGAGTTCCGTGCCCTCGGCACACAACTTCACCAGCAGGATAAAATGGCCCCTGGCCCTCCCTGAAGCCAGACCCCAGAAACTGCACTCTGGGTCTTGGCTCCAGGCGGTGCCCACAGCTACCAAACTACCCATCCACCACCACCACGACAGAGTGCTTCCCTCTAAGCCCCCGCCCCATGACAACCCCAGTTCCAACAGTGTGCAAAGTCCAGACCCCAGAAAACTCGGCTCAGGGAGGACTAGGCAGTATTTGCTCCCTGGTGACAAGGTCTGCCAGTCCCTAATAAGGGGCCCAGCACTGGAACTGGGGTACTAGTGGAAAGGAGAGACTGGGAGGAGAAGGAGGGGGAGCCTTTATATGTTTGCTGGAGCATCTCGGACTTAACTGTCTGAACGCTTGTGGTCTTCCTGTCTGACAGCTATACTTGCCCCGTCTGAACCCGCAAGCCCAACAAAGTTGCCCGCACTTCTTTACGTGCCACATCGCCAAGCTGCGGGTTAGGCGGATGGATTTACCTTCAAAGGCTCTGGATGAACTACTGAGAGTTCCCTGTCTTCCACCCCTTCTCTTTGCCATCTCTCCCCATAAAGCATCCCGTCCAGCTATCTCCTCGGTTTCTGGGTGTCTAGGGCGCCCTGCACACGATTTAGAATCAGGCACAGAAGAGGGTGTACCGGAGCAGGAAACCCCAGAAAATCCCACAGGGATCCGGAGACCAGCTTGCCAAAGTTGTCCCAACACCGTCGCTAGGAACGCCGCTCCCGCTGAACTGACGGTCTCACCCTCCTCCCGCGCGCCCCCAGTTGCCTGGCCTCGCGACCAGGGTGGGATGGAGGGGGCGCGGGATTGGCAGAGACTTACCAAGTAGACGGTGGGCTGCAGGAGGAGAAGCACGTACCAGCACGCAGCCTGCATCCTCCCGCGTATCAAACTTCCTCGGCGGTGCCTTCGCTGAGTCTTTGTTCCTTCACAAACATAGATCCACCTGACATCCACTTTACAGAGCCAGGAGCGCTCTCAGCAGCCTAGATACAAATGAAATTAGACATCCCATGACCACGCGGGCAAGGTTAGGCTTGGCGACCAAGCGGGGAAAGGGGGTCGTGGCGCGAGGGGTGGACCAAAAAACCCGGAGGTGGGGGAGGCAGGAGAAATGCAAAAGCGAGTAAATCCGGCGCCTGAAACCCGAGAGCGCGCCGTCGTCTGCAGGCAGGCGGGCAGGAGGCTTGGAGGTGGAGGGGTTCCTTGCACCCTACGCTCCTCGGGTGCGAGCTCCCGGGCGGTGGAGCCGGGAGGTGACGGGGCACACGGACCGCGTGCAGGCTGGTTCAGAGCCCAAGCCTCTCTGTCAGCAAGACCTGCCCGTGTTTGATGGCCGGGCGGCTCGGACTAAAGGCGGCGGCTGGTTCTTCGCCAGCCCTGGCAGTGCTCACACACATCCACACCAGCAGAGAGAGACGGAGAGAGAAAGAGAGAGGGAGAGCGAGCGGGCGAGACTGAGCGACGGGGGCGTGGGGAGAAGACGGGGTAGGTAGAGCTGCCCAGGATTAGGTGCTGGGTATCTCCGCGCGTTTGGTGCGGTGGGGGTGGGAAAAGGGAATGCAATTTGCATACAGGAAAGCCAGGCTCAGTTTACCCATTCGAGCGCCGGGTACACACAGAGATAACACGCGCACACACACGTACTACTTTTTTCGAGGCAAGGGGCACAGCCAGTTGCTAACTTCTAGAGCGGAAGCCTGCCCGGGTCTGTAAGGGTCACCGCCAGGCGCACTCCGTCTCCCAACCAGTGGCGCTCCTCGCCGCCCCTTCGTGCTGCCCCACCACCCCACCCCAAGATATTCCCCCATATCTGGACTGTGAGAGCCAAGGGTACGTACCGCACAGGACTGGGGGCGAATACAGCGAGCAGGGACCGCTCTGGGAAGGCTCCATGGAGGAGCTAGCTACTCGGGCCTGGCGTCTCCGGCGCCCCGGACATGCCCTCCCTGGCGCTTCATCTCCACGCTCGGGCGCGGACCGGTCCCGCTGCCTCGTTCACCTTCGGCGGAGTCGGCGTCCCAGTGCCCGGGTCGCGCTTAGGATCGGTTCCGCGCGAGCCTAGGCTTGGCACAGTTGGATTCACGGTGCTGGAAACTTAAGAGGCAAGAGAGGGAGGGGGAAGTAGAGGAGGAAAGAGAGGAAGGGAGAGAGGGAGGGAGAAGAGAGGGAGGGTGGGAAGAGAATGCGTCCGGCTCCGGCCGGCCCCGGAGGGAGGACGGGACTGCCCGCGCTGGCTCTGGGACGAGCAGTCCAAGGCGCCCTGCTTCCCGAGGCTGCCGAAGGATGGTAGAAGTGACTTCAGGGGAAGAGACTGGGCAAGTCCTCAGGACTTGAACTTGAGCGATAAGACGCTGGCCTTTCGGAAGAAAAAAAAAAGCCACACAGAAGGCGCAAGCAGTCGGAGTTTCTGAGGAAGGGGTGGGGCGGTCGGAGCCTGTAGGATCCTGGCTCATCCGTGGCTGCACCTCCGCGTGACGCGGAGAAGACCGAAAGCCACTCCGGAGCGGAGTCGCGGGCTCTGGCCGCGGTCCTGCCCGACCACTGGGGGACGCTCTGGAGCGCGCGGGCGTTCTTGGCGCCGGTGCCCCGTTGCTTTCTCCGCAGGTTCGCCGCTCGGCTCGCCTACCTTCCTGACTCAGGCAGTGACATCGGCACGTGGGCGAACGACTCCTCGGAGACCAATTAGTACCCCGTGCACACCGATCCCGCTCCCAGCCTCTCGGCGGGCCAGGCCCGCTGGGAGAAGTGGCTCTTAGCTCTCTCTGGTGGCCGCAGTGCCCCCTTTCCCCCGGGGGGGCTTGAGGAGGACCGCGACTGCCAGAGGAGTGGCGGGAAGCGTAGCCAGGCGGTGCGGAGGGAGGAGGGTGCAGGTCTGCCCGGCCCGCCCTGAGCGCCTGAGCAGGGCACCGCGGACCTGTGGCTGGGAGCCCCGGGACCCGGGCGCTACGGACCGCCAGCCATTCAGCGCGCGGCCGCAGAGAGTGGGCGACCTTGCGCTCCACTCCTCGTCGCGGGCTGGGCAAGCGAGAGGAAGGGGTTGGGGGTGGTCTCGGAGGGGAGGTGGGGTGATGGAGGAAGCTTGGAGCGTTTGCCACTTCCCTCGCTGCTGATACCTCTTCCTCAACCAGTATTTCCCAGTCTCCGACTCTGCTCTGACTCCCACTGACACTGTTTTTCCTCACATCTCCCTTGCTGTCTCTGCTTTCACGATTTTTTCTGTCTCCTCTGTTATTCTTGTACTCTATGCCTGTCCCTCCGTGTCTTTCTACCCCTTTCTGGGTCTCTCTCAGGATTTCTGACTCTCTCCTCTTCTGTATTTGCGTCTCTACCTCACCCTCTCCATTCCCTCGTCTTCTCCCCTTCACCCTGTCCATCGCACTCGCTCAGATCAGCTTCGACCATGGCCGGTGACATCCTAGGACCAGGCCCTCTCTTGCCAGTGGGGCCTCCAGCACCTCCTCAAGGGGTCCAGACTCGGTCTGCTAGTCCAAGTGCGCCTGGGGACATTTTTCTTCCTCCTGCCTCGCCTGCTACCTCTCCAAGCCTACCAAGTCACTGGTGCCCGGCCTGGAAAGGTGCACTCTGAAGGGTAAGAATTCAATATAAGTGTTGGTTTGAAATGTACCTTAGGAACCCTAGTTAGTGACCATCAAAATGGAATCGTGATTTTTAATGAGTCTCTGATTCTCATTTCCTGGATGCCTCGGGCTCTAGTGTTCCGGCTCAGGTCAGTCAGGGCCCAGACCCAGTGTACCTCTACACAAGAGGCCTCCCAGGACTGCAGGCTGAGTTCCCCTGGGGAAAGCTGGTAACCCCTCACCCCCCCCCCCAAAACAGCAGTGACAATCAGCAAAACTGCCCTCTCCTAGAGCAACCCAGAAGGAGGCTCACTGATACCTTGTCCTGGAAGCAGGCCTCTAGTTTAGATCCCTGCTGTAGGACATACCTGCCAGGCACTTCCTGGCCTACACTCCCCCTTCCAAGCTAAAAATAGCTCTTTAAAGAGCAAGCTCTTCTACTCTGGGAAGTTGTTCACTGCCTCTGTGACCTCTTGGAATTCATTGGAGCATATGCAGAGTAAAGTGGTGAAGCACATTTTCTAACTGGGACTCTGAAAATGCACTTTCGGAAAAGATACACATTTATATATAGCATAGTTGCAATGTTATCTTGGCTATCTTCACTTACTAGGTTTTTCATGCTCTTAAAAAGTTTAAAGAAGAAAAATAAGCACCCATATTTGAGGCTGTAGGGTCAGAGTAGGGCGAAGGAGGCTTTGTCTGATTTCCCCTTTGGGATCCGGCAGCCACCCTAAAACTGACGCCCACTTGTTTCTTAGCTCCTAGGCCCTGCCCTGCTGGAACATGGAGCTGGAGTGAACCGCTTGCCTGCCTCTGTCCACAAGCTCAAGTTCAGGGCCTTCAGTACTGAGCTTGCATCTGACCTTTGGGAAAAACGAGAAATAATCAGGCCAACTTTGGGATATAAGTTCTTTTTCTAAACATTACTTCAAAAACATTCTGCCTCCAGTGCCATTTAGCCTTAAAAAAATTACTGCTTGTGAAATAGAAAGACTGACGATCAAGGACCTTAAAATCTCTT